GAGACAGTGGGTTGAGGTTATATTTTTCCCATTGACCCCAGCGTATATCGTGGTAAGTGAATAATCAAACGCATTGTGTGTTCGTAAGACTGCCCTTGTTTGATATGTGCAAAAAAAAACAAACAAAACTATTTCACATTGTGTAGCATTTTCTCAAATTTTCACTCGTCTAATCGCAGCATGCATATGACGAGTATGTTAATAATTTGCATGTAAGAAATAAGAAGTTAACAAATTTATGAATTCACACGAATTTCTCAAATTGTCTGTGACTGACGCACAATCCCGCAAGACGACAATGGTAAAGTATGTCGACCTCAGAACTCACACACCCGTGAAGATCCGGATTAGAATTGATCTTCAGTAACCCATGCTTGTCGTAAGAGGTGACTAACGGGATCGGGTGGTCAGGCTCGCTGACTTGGTTGACACATGTCATCGTATCCCAATTGCGCAGATCGATGCTCATGCTGTTGATCACTGGATTGTCTGGTCCATACTCGATTATTTACAAGTCGCCGCCATAAAGCTGGAATATTGCTGAGTGCGGCGTAAAACTAAACTCACTCACTCATTCAGAACTCACACGGTTTTACAGACACACACAATGACTGAAGTTTATACATCGTTTCAATAGGGTGGAATTTTCTCTCAATATTGTCGGTTATTAAATGTGACAATATCAATAACAAGACTTTTCAGTAAAGGTCATGAATTATTGACGCAAATAACCAAATGTGTATTTTAATTTTTATATCAAAGGATTTTAGCTGCAGTTGACATTTCACTAAACGAATAAAACGACTTAAAATTCCTAGATTAGGGAAAAAGTAACTGAACACCAAAATGAATTATGTTTGAATGTGGCTTTGATTCATAATGCGGTTCCTGTGAGGGTGGGGGTTAGAGCTGGTGTCAACAAATCCATCTAGTCATAAGACTTGGTTCATGCATAATTTAATGTCAAAGCTGACGACCACTTCTAATCCCCACCTGCAAAGTATGAATCAAAGCCTCTAAAGTAAGGCATGTTTATATTACAGTAACAGCCAGTGGTTTGTTTCGCCCGATACTATTTATAGAATGGACAGGGTTAAATTATTGCTAGACACATTGCTGAGAAAGTTGTAAACAACAAACAGAAAAAAATCATGATGATATGTTGGTATGTTCCCAAGCCCATTTGGATATGTTGGTATATTAACAAGCTCATTTGGATATGTTGGTATATTCACAAGCTAATTTCGATATACTGGTATATTCACATGCTCATTTGGATATGTTGGTATATTCACAAGCTCATTTGGATATATTGGTATATTCACAAGCTAATTTCGATATACTGGTATATTCACAAGCCCATTTGGATATGTTGGTATATTCACAAGCTCATTTGGATATGTTGGTATATTCACAAGCTCATTTGGGTATGTTGGTATATTCACAAGCTCATTTGGATATGTTGGTATATTCACAAGCTCATTTGGATATGTTGGTATATTCACAAGCTCATTTGGATATGTTGGTATATTCACAAGCCCACCTGGATATGTTGGTATGTTCCCAGGCTCATTTGGACAAGTTGGTATGTATCCCATTTCACTGGTAGCCCATATTCCAAGCTCATTTGGATATGTTGGTATGTTCCCAGGCTCATTTGGACAAGTTGGTATGTTCCCAATCCCATTTCAATGTGCTGGTATGTTCCCAAGCCCGTTTGGATATGTTGGTATATTCACAAGCTCATTTGGATATGTTGGTATGTTCCCAGGCTCATTTGGACAAGTTGGTATGTTCCCAATCCCATTTCAATGTGTTGGTATGTTCCCAAGCCCATTTGTATATGTTGGTATGTTCCCAAACCCATTTGGATATGTTGGTATGTTTCCAAGCCCGTTTGGATATGTTGGTATATTCCCAGGCTCATTTGGATATGTTGGTATGTTCCCAAGCCCATTTGTATATGTTGGTATGTTTCCAAGCCCGTTTGGATATGTTGGTATATTCCCAGGCTCATTTGGATATGTTGGTATGTTCCCAAACCCATTTGGATATGTTGGTATGTTTCCAAGCCCGTTTGGATATGTTGGTATATTCCCAGGCCCATTTGGACATGTTGGTATGTTCCCAAGCTCATGTTGATATGTTGGTATATTCCCAAGTCCATTTGGATATGTGGGTATGTTCCCAAGACCATTTGGTGTGTTATGGTGACAATCACTGGATTGTCTGGTCCAGACTCGATTTATTTGCAAACAACATCGTACAGCTGTAATACTGCTGAAACAAATATATACACATGATCTTGCCACAATTGTACGATCTGCTTTTAGCAGAGATTTCTTGGGGATGTGGAAAGGGTTTTGTCGCTTCTGTTTACATCCACACTTCTCGAGACTTCTCGCTGTGTACAACTGATAGTCGCTGAGAATATTGTACGTGCATTGTATGGAAAGCGAGTATCATGTGATTGTGCTTTGTCCTTCTGAAGTTCGGAATATATAGGCAGCTCTAATGGTATTAAGAAAGAATGTTATTTTCCCAGTGTAATGAGATTATGAGAAAACGAGCACATCCAATTTTGAAAACATAAAAGAACACACGCTGTGTCAACAAATGCATGAGTACAATAGATAATATTCTGTAGCCCTTAGGAATATAGGGTTTCTTTCGTTTTAGAGTGATTGTTTTACAGGTTTTTCTTTTCTTTTAATTTATTTTTTAGAATGTGTGTGATTGCAGGTAAGGCTCTCATAGTCTGTACATGCGAACTGACCGCCTCCGTGGTGTAGTGGTTAGAGCGTCCGCCCGGAGAGCGGAAGGTCGCGGGTTCGATCCCCGACCGCGTCATACCAAAAGACGTTAAAATATGGTACTTGTTGGTCCCTGCCTGGCGCTCGGCATTAATGGGTACAACAAGGACTGGTCGGCTCGGAGTCAGTATAATGTGTCTGAGTGGGGTATTCATGCTTAACTGCGGCATGGTATCTCAGTGGGCTAGCACTATAAAACCAGCTTAAGTCTGGGCTGGTACAAGCAGCCGCACATACACATACACACGCATGCACGTCGTCATATGAGCGAAATATTCTCAAGCACGACGTAAAACCCAATTTCACCTCACCTCACATGCGAACTGATTTTTTCTATGTATAGTATTCAATGTAAATTAGATGAGAGTGAGTGAGTGAGTTGGGTTTTACGCCGCTTTTAGCAATATCCCAGCAGTATCACGACGGGGGACACCAGAAATGGGCTTCACACATTGTACCCATGAGGGGAATCGAACCCTGGTCTTCGGCGTGACGAGCGAATGCCTTACCCTCTAGGCTACCCCACCTTCCAATTAGATAAGATTGTTAATGATATACACAATCTGTATGACCATTACAAAGCAAGGTCACATTCATACAACAAAGCATAAACAGATGAAGCATACTGGATGAAAATATGCAAAAAGTAAAAAAAACGCCTCTAAATTAATTAAGTTGGTTAAATATCATTGACCCTTTGGGATTTTGTCGCATCTTATCAGCCGCAATGTTTGCATCGTGGGGATGACAATTCTTTAAAAAAGACCACTGAATGTTCAAATTTGTATTCGCGACGGTAGGTGTTCACTAAAACTCAATCGAATCTTCATTTGGTTTTCATTCGTACATGAAGGGCAAGGACACTGTACAATTGACGTTGACGTCATCGATATATTTCTAGATGCAAGACATTAACAATGCCATTAGTAAGCTTTCTTAGTCTGCCAACCTTATTCCCCGATGTGTTCAGGTGAAACACGAAGAGAGGTCAGTCAGTTGGATGCTTCAAGTTACTGGAATGTTGGATTGGATTGGTTGTTGTTTTAAGCCGCACTATGCAATGTTCCAGCTATATGGCGTCGTTCTGTAAATAAGCGAGTATGGACCAGACAATCCAGGGATCAACTGCATGAGCATCGATCTACGCAATTGAGAATCGATAATATGTGTCAATGAAATCAGCGAGCCTGACCACCCGATCCCGTTAGTCGCCTCTTACGACAAGCATGGGTTACTGCAGACCAATTCTAAACCGGATCATCACGGGTTTCTAGAGAGTTGGAATAAGCTTCGCAGTGCTCCAAATGTGTATAAATGTCTTTTGGTAAACACCTGCACATTGCACCCAAGCAAATCTATCTCTTTAAAAATGTTTATGCATGTTAAGTGTACTTAAGGTCACGAAGCGTTTGACGCCCATCCGTCAACAATGAGACCTAAATTTGAACCGAAATCATAAAATTAAGATACAAATTTGAAAGTTTGAAATTTGAAAACATAATTCCCATGTAAAACAAGTCAATCACACGCTGCAAATTTCATTTACATGACATGACAGGGTATGGGTTCGAATCCCGGATGGGACTCAAACACCCAAAAAGTACTAGAATCTGTACTTTACTAAGAAAGTGTAATCCCAAATATGACATACGTTACATGACATGCTTAAGATTCGCAAAACAACCCTTCATCTAACCTTCTGCTACAAGCTTTGATCGTAATCCCCCACAGCCAATTAAACGAATTTGTGTTACAATCAGAGAGAAAACGTCACTTCTTCACGCGATATCTGACGCATACGAATCTTTGTAGTGAGTGGTGTGTATGAGAGCCCCTTAAAAGCTCGTGGACGATGTGCTGGAAGTCTGGAAGTAAAAAACGATCACAATTTTCCACCCTACCCTAGTGACACGAACTCAGTGACTGCCTGACTTCTAATCCGCTTAGTGGAAACAGTGTACGAGGCCATCTGGCTCAATTGACCTCCCGGAAGAATCTGTCATGGCTCGATGGGAAAGTTGTCCCAAGTGGTTAATATTCCAGGGGAAGAAAACCAACACCTTTCAGCTATATTAACGAGCCTTCAGAAAACAATTAAAGCAATCCTTTGTATAAATATTTTAATATTAATAAGCATCTTCAGGTGGGCTGACGGTGGTATTGATCGATTGGCATTGCTGACTTCAGGTTGACGTTGAAGGCCTTCGTACTCAACCTGTGGGAAGAGACATCTTCCCCTCAATCGCTATAAAACCCGGGGAGGAAACAAGGTCGATCTTTAAAGACTTGATTGACGGGACGGAAAGCCATCTTTTATAACACACAGACAGCAGTTGGAATTGGTGAGTACACTGAATTTCATTTTGGAAGTCGATATTGTTTCATTTTGAGAAATGTATTTCTTTAATTAACTGGAACTGAATTTGTTCCTTTGCTGTGAAATATTTTTACGTTGTTACCCAGATCGCAATTTTTCTCTCTGTTTTAATGTAGCAGAGACGTGTTTTACAGGAATGGGTTTCCAGCTATTGTGTTTACGAGATACTGTTGTAATTCTAAAACTTTACTGTTCATTATCGGAGTTACGTTATGTGCTGAGAAACATATTTGGTTAATTGATCCTGGTTATATCAACAGTATTGATCACGCGCGTGGTTTTGTGTTATGTGTAATACATACATACATAATAACATTTGTATAGCGCCGATATCCAGCTCAGCTGCTCAAATGCGCTTTGTTTTTCCCTCGATCACTGGATGTCAATCTCAACGGCACGTCGTATTATCAATCTCAACTCCCTGGGGATCATACGTAACGGTTATGAAAAAGTTGTTATCGTATTGTATATGTCACAGAGTTAGGTAAATACTTTCTATATTAATTTGTACTGGGATAGTATCAGATGAACATATGTCTGTATCTAGTAAGAAATTGCTGTTTTAATACCTTATTGTTTAATACCAAATATAGTTTGATTGACGAAATACATTAAAACATAGATACATATGTATAACTTAGAAACATGTCATTTGATACACCGTCAACCGTGGGCATAATTTTAGACTTGCAGACGTTTTCCACGTGCACATACTGTATACAAGAAATACCTTATTATAATTACCGTCACCATTATCATGATCTATCATTACTTCATGTCATATCTCACCTCGCATGATCATATCTATAATTTTAACCAATGACGTACCACCACCATTAATTATATGTACATGTTTCACACTAATATCACTCCTTGGATCTTCTTCAGAACTAATATGTCAATTAAGTGTAATATTCGCAGGGGCGTTTCTAATTTCACAAAGCTTCGCGTTTGTTTCAAATCAAACATTCAGTAGCTCACATGCGTATTATTATTATTAGTAGTAGTAGTAGTATTGGATACAGCGCATTTATTTATATAGCGCACATATCCACGCATTACTGCATGCTCAAGGCGCTGGTATTTCCCCCTCGATCATTGGATGTCAGTCTCAACGTACTGAATTCACTTTGTACATTTACACATGGTAATATTGATCTCGTTTATTTTCTTCTTGACAACACACTGTCATGAAAGTATAACTTGTCGAAAAATTGTGTTTTTTTTAAATGACATGAGAAAACAAGCTTCTGTACTGCAACTGAAAAAAAGACATATTTTCTACCACTATCGATTCAATTTTAAGAATCGATCTCAAAGTTCGTTGAATCTCCAAAGTCATAAAATTGCATATTATTTGAATATCAGATCTTTATATGATGCATGAATATTCTTATGACTGACTCAATTACGTCTTCGACATAGGAGTAGACGTCATTGCTACTTCCTCAATCATCCACGGGAAAAATCAAGTTATAAAATATTGAATTGAAATCTTTAATTTGATTCTTACAGAGTACATATTATTTTTTTCATGAATACTTAAGTACTTAATCTCTTGACAGATCCTTGAAAGATCTTGATCGGTTTTGTTTTTAGATGACTAATCAATAAGATGGCGATTCCGTTCCTTGCAATGATTTATTTCCATTAAGGTTTTTGTACTAATTGAAAAGAAGCCATATCTTTGTGTTAGCTGATTCCAAATAGCGCCGTTAGCTCTCTTTAATAATTGTTAAAGAACTTTTACAAAAACAGTATTGTCATGTTTCATCTGCCTAGTCCTGTCATTTATTACCACGGTGATTCAACATCCCGGCCTTGCCAAAGGATGTTATATCCAATCTATTTACTCGCTCAAGGTTTGCAATGAAATATAAGCGACAATACCCTTTATTCAAAATATACCATAAGACATATCTGCTAACGAAGAATCGATAGTACGACTTCGATCATAGGTATGCGTGCATGAATCCCGTCAGTTTTATCTTAAAGAACACTACGGTTATAACGAACTCAAAGGCACCACTAAATTTTGTTCGTTAAAACGGTAGTTTGTTATATAAGGATTTCGACTTAAATGTACATCAAGTGACCAGGGATATAAAACAAGTTGAACCTTTTTTTTACCTCCGTCAATTCGTACCCGTGAAGGTCCGGGTTAGAATTGATCTTCAGTAACCCATGCTTGTCGTAAGAGGCGACTAACTGGATCGGGTGATCAGGCTTGGTTGGCACATGTCATCGGTTCCCAACTGCGCTGATAGATGCTCATGCTGTTGATCACTGGATTGTCAGGTCCAGGTTCGATTATTTACAGACCGCCGCCATATAGCCGGAATATTGCTGAGTGCGGCGTAAAACTAAACTCACTCACTCACTCCGTCAATTCGTTATAAGCGTGTATGGTACATACGTGTATGGCTAAAATATTGTACGTTTATCTTGAAATAAATGGTTGGCAAGTTGCAAATGGATCTACTCTTGCGGTTAATGTTTCACACACATCGCTATGTTTCTTCTTCACGTAAAATGTCAATTATCTATGGGTAATGGCTATGACATATGAGTGCGTGAGTGAGTGAGAGTGAATGGGTGGGTGGATGGGTCAATTGGTGAGTGAGTGACTGGAGTGAGTGACTAAGTGAGTGAGTGAGTGGAGTGTTTTTCATCAAGGGGCCCTTCACACGCCTCATAGCCGGCTTGTCCTGGCTCATCCCCTTAATGCGGACGCCAGACAAGGCATCAACAAGCACCACCATCTAACTTCTGTCGGTATGACGTGCCACCGTCGAACCACTGTCCTTCCCCCACAGAGCAGATACCGTACCTACGAGAAGCAGTTTAAACACTAAAAGATATTGGACTCACAGTATTCAAACCCCACATTGTTCTTGTAAGCCATGCTTGTCGTAAGAGGCGACTAACGGGATCGGGTGGCCAGGCTCACTGGCGTGGTTGACACATGTCATCGGTTCCCAGTTGCGCAGATCGATGCTCATGCTGTTGATCACTGGATTGTCTGGTCCAGACTCGATTTTTTACAGACCGACGCCATATAGCTGGAATATTGCTGAGTGCGGCGTAAAACTAAACTCACTCACTCACTCTTGTAAGCCTCGTCCAAAGCATCAAAGGATGAATAGATCGTAGGTTATGATGTCAGTGTATCATCTGCTCACTGTGTGCCATCGTAGCATAAATTTTGCTCCAGTGCTCATGCTATCAACCGCCAGTTTGTCAAAGCCAGACTAGCCTATTCACACTTATCAGTGATGCTACTAATACACCACTATCTTTACCTTGTTTTATTTTCTCAGACTCATACAGTCATTCAGCATCCCAAAATACCTTCTTTTCCATATTATAGCTCCTATTTCCCCAAACACATCCTACTTGTCACAAAATAACAAGCTTCTTTCAATATTAACCCGTAGCCTGCTTATAACCGGTTAGCGCTATTAGTTTAGGTGAATGGTTGTTTGGACAAGCTAAATTGATGTCTTATAATGCTATTATTAGTCTCTGATAAGGCGCTAACAGTTACATGGTTCTTGAGACCACTAACCGCTGCCTGAAAACACCACTAGACTTCAGAACGTAACGCGCCAACCGTCTGTTCCCGTCGACAGCCTTTCTGGTTAATCCGTTAAATCACATTTAATGCCAGCGCGTTGCGTTGTATTTGGAGAAGTGTTGTCACACGTTACCAGGTGTGTTCTAACATTTATACAAATAATCACGTTGCGTAAAGTGTAATTAAAATATCAAAGTGCTACACAAGCCTTCTGTCATTCATAACGTTGAATTTGGCTTGTCTATTCAACATTAATGGTGTGCTCTCTATGTCCAGAATATCTCCTATTAACTCAAACATAATGTTCAGTTGACATTATCAGTATGTTTGCCTTCGTGTCATGGCCTCTGAATAACAGACTTAGAGCGTCCGCCCGGAGAGCGGAAGGTCGCGGGTTCGATCCCCGACCGCGTCAAACCAAAAGACGTTAAAATATGGTACTTGTTGGTCCCTGCCTGGCGCTCGGCATTAATGGGTACAACAAGGACTGGTCGGCTTGTAGTCAGTATAATGTGTCTGAGTAGGGTATTCATGCTTCACTGCGGCATGGAATCTCAGTGAGCTAGCACTATAAAACCAGCTTAAGTCTGGGCTAGTACAAGCAGGCGCACATACACATACACACGCATGCACGTCGTCATATGAGCGAAATATTCTCAAGCACGACGTTAAACCCAATTTCACCTCACCTCACCTCACCTGAATAACAGACAATCGATTCATGTGATAGTTTAGGAGTTACATTGCTGGAATATTATGAGTACAACCTTAAACACCCGGAGAAGGGGTAACAATGAACTCCGAAATGTCGAGTTTAAAAAATGAAAAAGTTGATGTCCAAACAATCTTTGAGTACTACTGTTCATCACTGTGGGTTGGAATCCCTGATGGAACTTCACCCAAAAAAGTACTAGAATTTGTACTTTACTAAGAGAGTGTAATCCCAAATATAACATATGTTACATTTGACCATTTTCTAAATGACATTGTGTAATCATCACTTCTAGAGTCCGTTTGACTTCATTTGAGACCGATGAATTGCTCACTAACACAAAATCTAATAATGGCAACCAAACCAAATTTTGCACTGTCAAATCCTCTGATGATTTGTCTAATAATTTTGGACACCCGAATAAAAAAGTTGTTTAACAAACGATCATTATTTTGTTGTATCTTTTCGCTATTTCTTACGAGGGGGAACCACTTGGTGGTAGAACAGCCAGGTAATCAACAAGCGTGTGCAGTAAAATTTCAATTTGCACAGGTACAACTCGCATACCTGGCTTTTGAGGTGCTTTTCAAAGGAAGGACAGCAACATATAGATTAACAACTTCCTGAGAGAGCTACGTGTTAATACAAGATATGAACAGAATAGGAAGTGAGAGGC